TTCCTTATTATTCACAACACCACATTGCCGTTGCCGTTGCCGATTTCACTCTTTTGCAAGCAAAAATTAATTGCACTTGAACTTTGTGCGCGCACGTTTAAAGTTGAGGAAAATGTAAACAAGATTTATTCGAATTGTTGTTGTCTGCCATTGTTAAAATGATGACGTTGGTTGTTGCTATTATTGCATCTTGCGTATTTGTTGTTTACCACTCTCGTTTTCGGTATTTTTTTTTCCTTTCTGTATTTCGTCTCTCGCACTTTCTTGCTTTCTTTCTCGTTCTAACACATTGTTGTCGGGTGAGATGCTGTGCTCCGCATTGTCGTTTACACAGGATTCAAATGCATAATTTGCACTGCATTACAATTGAATGGAATAATATCTCGTTTTGCATACGTGCTGCAAATATGCTGGCTTCCATTAGTGTAACCGAATGGTGGAATGATTCACAAAGAAAAAGAAGCCCAGCAAACAGTGGTTGGAACACAGCATGAAATGAGGAGGGAAAAAATGAAGACGAGCAACAAAAAATATACAATATAAATGTATATATTACGAAAACCGATGCACTTTCTCATTGTGAAGTTGTGTGCATAAATTCAGAAAACTCTGGTTGATGTGAAAAATGCATTCAGAATGCGCCAAATGTATTCAAATGAACGTTGAATTTTTCCCTTTCAGTTTTGTTTGTTTGGTTGTTTGTGTGTGTATTTTTGGCATTTCACTATGGTTTTGCGGTGCATCAACAGCAGCAGCAGTAGCAGCAGAAATATTTGCACGTCGGCATTATAAGTTGGAATAGTGTTGATGAAACCAACAAAGTAGAAAGTGAACGAGAGTACGAACATACAGTGGAAAAAGAATACGAAGAGCAAACGCAAAGAAATATATGCCCTTTCGCCAACCATTTGCTACGAAATATTCTATGCTTATTTAAAATTTAAATTCAGTTTCGATTCCGTGTAACAGGCGCCAGCGCCATTCGAAGGAAGTCGTTTCTGTATTTTTTTCCCCTCGCAACACAAAATGTGTGCATAATTTTTGACGTGAGAACGTTACATCGCTTAAATGAGAATTCACACAATCGAGTAACAGAGACGAGAGAAGCGAGAGAAAAGAAACTAGATGTAAATTTACTCAAAATATGCATTTTACAATGCAAACGAAACGAAGAATAAAGCGCGAAAAGTTTACCGTGTTTAACTTCGTTTCGAAGCATTTTTGTCACTGAGATTTATAAGCTTTCAACAATTTATGTGTTGTTGTATGTGTGCGCGCGCTTGCTTACTAAACAAACCGAAATGAGTATACAAATGTCATCATCATATTTTCATTAGAGCACGCGATCCAACAGGCACTTGGCACTACATTTGTTTCCAAAAACAATTGCGGATTGGCCGGTCGACGATGAACCATTGCAAAATGGCACGTTATTACTGTTGTTGTTTTTGTAGTTGTACTTTGGCCTTAGTAAATATTTGTCTTCTCATTTCAATCCTGGGGTCAACTGACAGCCACCCATTCATTTTGCAGCCGAAGAAATTTATTTAAACTCTCGGACTTTCCAATGGCCAAATGAACTCATGCAAGTGCTTGAATTGAGCGGTGCTAGGCTGGGTGTTGTTCGTGAAAATTTGGAAGTTGCTTTAAAGTAAGTAAACAGAGAAAAAAACATGCACACTCACAATCTGCACACCCGTAACTAATTAATCATTTGTTGAAATAGAAAAGTTGGTCGTTTCAGTTTGAATTTTTGCTTAATGCACCAACACAAACAATTTTAATTATTACTCGTGATGTGAAAATTTATGAATTCTTCATTTAATTTGCTTCGTTGTTGAACTTTTATATTTAATGAAATCGGTTAATTATTATCTCAAGAGAGTCTCTTTTCGTTTCGTTTCGTTTTTTTCTTTCGTAGAGAGAGAAAAGCCAAATTTGAAAATTATTTGATCAACGAACGACGTAAAATGGAAATGTTTCGCTCACGAGAAACAAAAGAATTTCTCTCATTGGATGAACTAAAGGAAAAATGTGACATCAGTGATAATTTCATGGAAATAATAAAGGTACGTGTAATAACAAATTTACAATCTCTAACTATGTTAACCATGTTAACCATGTTAACCATGTTATATATGACCACATCAAACAATATATGTAATTGTCGATAATTATTATTTTTAACTGAGCAACAGAAATGTGAAAAGGAAGCAGATGCAATAAATGTTGATGAAAATTTACTTCAATTAGAAGTTACCTCGTTTCCAACGCTACACGAAATGGTCAACAAAATGGAGCCCATTGAACAATTGTGGAAGACAGCGTATAAATTTGATAAATGTCATGAGATCTGGTAAAGAGCTAATTGCTTTTGTATAGTGTAAACGGCATTTTCGCCTTTCGAATTTTAATAGTACCACAGAAATCATAAATTATACACGACTATTAATGACGAGTATTGACTTGGTGATCACTCTCGTGTAAAATATCTTTTTGTATGTTCGGCAATAGTTTCAAAAGCTACTTATGGTTAGTCACTTGGGTAACAAATAATAAAGTGAAGCATTACATGAAGCACAATACATATGTCTTGTGATCACTTTCCTCGTAGATATTTTGGAATTTCATTAAATTAGTCAACTTAATCACAGAGGAATTATTGGCTCATTTATTTTCCATGTTTACTGTTTTCCATTTAATTTTATGCCATGCAAACGGTGTATATAGGTATTACGGTCCGTTTGTGCAGCTCAATGGCAAAAGCGATGCAATTCATCTTGATGTTGATTCAATGTATTCAACAATACAGAAATTAATTAAACAATTGGCAAACAACCCACAAGCAAAAAGGATTGCCGATCAAGTGCGCATGAAAATCGATAAGTTTAAAGTGTATTTGCCGGTATTGGATGCGATATGCCAGCAAGGTTTAGGCGAACGTCATTGGACATTGATATCTGACGAAATTGGGCAAACCGTAAATCCCGAGCTATTTAATTCACTCAGCGCAATGATTGAGATTGATATATTACGTATTGTTGATCGTTTAAAAGAAATTGCCAATGCAGCCGCCAAAGAGTACGAGTTAAATGTACAATTGACAAATATGCAAACCGAATGGACCAACGTACAATTCGAATTGATTCAATATAGGTGAATATTATGGAATAAGAGGCTTTATTGGTTTTCTGATTTTATTGATTTGTGTGCTTCTGAGCAAGTCGATGACGTAGAAAGCCATAGCCAGTTTATTATTCAAAGCAATGACTAATTCAATTGCTTACACAAATGAAAATATGGCCAAATTTAAATGGAATTAAATGAATGATTATTTAACAGAGACTCTGACACATTTATATTGGCCGGGTTGGATGATGTGCAATCTCTCCTGGATGACCATATATTAAAATCTCAGGTTATTATTATATTATAAATACTCTCATATAATATAACTTACACTTCACATGGTCAAATGATGATACAAAAATCTTCACAGTCAATGCGTGGATCGCCGTTTATTGCTGCTTTGGGTCAACGAGCTACTGGTAATGATCAATTTAAATACATACTGTACTTACTCATCCTATGGTACAAAAGTGTTCAAGCTGTAACGTTTTAAACTAGAAGAATAGATTAAAAAATATTCAAAATCATTATCTTTTATTGCATAATTTTGTGCTTTTGAACTATTTTTAGTTCAAATCAAATTGTCAAGTTGAGTGAGCATGTTATGTCAACAACCATAAAAACATTTAGATTCTTTTATGTAGATTGGGAGGACAAGCTTATATCAATGCAAGATATAATGGACATTTGGTTAAAGGTTCAATCAGCATGGCAATATTTGGAACCAATATTCAATTCGGAAGATATTATGCGACAAATGCCCTTGGAAGGACGCAATTTCAAAGCAGTAATAATCAATTTCATCACATAAATAAAATGTCTTACATCCGTAAGATGAACTTTTCCGCACTGTGATCCACGACATGAAAGAAAACTAAATCTGACATTAGTTTTAGATAAAAATAATTTTCGAAGCACTTTTCTTACAAAAACTACTAAAGATGGGAATTTTTGTATCGGAGCCATGCCTATATGATATCGTAATCATGTGAAAATTTGCAGAGGTTATTTTTTTCACAAAAAGTTAACATTCTGAAAGTTTGAAGAAATTTCAATGCATATTAAGGGTACTTCCCATACAAAATTTCGTTTTAGAGCGAAAAATCCAAAATATTGTTCGGGAGGTGCCCCTAATATTCGTTGAAATGTCTTCAAACTCTCGGAATAGTATTTATGTGTGATAAAAATAACCTGTGCAAAGTTTCAGCTCATTACGATATCATACAGGCATGGCTTCCATACAAAAATCCAAATTTTTTGAATTTTTTGTATGAAAAGTGTTTCGAAAGTTGATTGTATCGCAAAACTAACGTCATATTCGGTTTTCTCGTACCCAAAAACCCCCCAATACACATTTTTGAGTGTTTAAGAATACATTAAATATCACTTTTGGAAGAAAAATTGAATTTTTCCCATGGATGGACATGGGCATCACACCAGACATGACACTTTACCCTGTCAACCGAAGTCGCTCAAAATCTAATGGTTTCTATTCCTCGGCACCCCCAATCATCCTGTGAAGTCAGATTTTGAATTACTTTTCTTGTTTGAAAGTTATCGTGTTAACAAATTTTTGCGTACAGGGTACAGCGTACAGGGTACAGGGTACAGGGTACAGGGTACAGGGTACAGGGTACA